TATGCCTATGTGTGAATCGCTTGCATGTATTTAAGTACACCCGTGTCCAGCAATGCCCAGAGGAGACAGTTCGATAGTTGTTAGCTGCCATGTGAGTGCTGGGATTTGAACCCAGATCTTCTGTAAGAACAGCCAATGTTCTTAACCCCTGAGCTATCTCTCTGCCCCACTGGATATTTCTCTTAAATGACCCTTCTGCGCAGCAACCCTGACATGCAGACTGGGTTGGGGCCAGGAGCACAGAGCCTTGGAGTACTTGTGCTTTAGTCTTGGGAGTTTTTCTCAGTAGCTTCAGGCCCTGCCCTTGGTTCCTCCATGGACTGATGTGACTTGTAGGTATGTCAGGTCTTCCTTCTCTGCTGCTGCTATCCTCCTACTCCACACTCCCCAGGAGAGTGGCCATCTTTCCTCCAAAGATGTAGTTTCCCTTTCCTGCCACACAATACTGTTCCTAGAAATCCATTCGGCACTCTTGAATCTGAGAGCTGCCCCCTTTTTGCAAGGTTGTGCATCTTTGGTGTGAGGGAGGTGGGGCCCCTGTACGAAATGGAGCAGTCAGGCACCCATCCCAGGAAGCACAATTAAGAATGTTCCCAGCAGGAAGGCTGCTCTCTGGGAAGCACAGAGAGCTGTTAGGACAAGTGACCTTTCTAATCACGCCTGACATTTCACAGCCTTGAAGGCGGAAGAGCTGCCCTTATTCAGGAGGCGAGATGTCGCGCTGCGTCACCCCAGACACCTGCGTCTGAGGCTGAGGTGACTTGGCTTCCAGTCGGCGCGGTGAATCAGAGCACGCAAAGGGCTTTGTTTCCTAGGAAAAGAGAAAACACTGAGCAGGAGGCTTATGTGAATGGTGGCTACATTTAAACCAGGGACAGAAGGATACCGCCTCCCCTGAGGATTAGCCAGCTCACAAGAGCTCAGGTGGCCGGGCTGATCCAACAGGCCTGCACGAAGGAAACGAAACAGGATCATCTTCCAGCCTGGCCTTGCTTTTTACCCATTTCAATATGAAAACAGCTTCATCGATTTTATTAGCATAAAAAATAAACATGCTTATTCTAAGGAAGATCACACAATGTATATAAGGAAGAAAATTAAAATTTTAATTCTATCAGACAAGATAATCATTGTATAGTAATTATGTGTGTGTGTGTGTGTGTGTGTGTGTGTATGTGTGTGTGTGTGTGTAATATATATTTGGTCTTTTTGAAATAGGGACTCCCTGTAGCCCCAGCTGGCCTGGAACTCACTATGTAGACCAGACTGGCTTTGAACTCACAGAGATCTGCCTGCCTCTGCCTTCCAAGTGCTGAGACTACAGATGTGGGCTCCCATGCCCTAACTACTGTTAATATTTTAAGGACAACTAGGCAGAGCAATGTCTCACACCTACAATCCTCCAGTTCAAGGCCAGCCTGGATTTTGAGTGAGACCCTGTCTCAGAGACAGAGACGAGAGAGAGAGAGAGACAGACAGACAGACAGACAGAGACAGAGACAGAGACAGAATATATTTTGAGGACATGTCTGTCATAAAGCTGCATTTTTAAAACTTAACGTCCTGAATACACTTCCATGTCAATGAACTGTAAACTGAACAAAGCCCTTCTTGAAGATCTATTGCAATCCATTCCCTGAACAGAACTTCTGAGGTGGCCTCTGTTGTCTAAAGTCCCCTGAGGGGCTGCACCATTCCTGGAGGGTGTGCGGTACCAGGTTAATGTGTGGAGTAGATGGAGCAAGCTCCATTTCCTTCTTTCAGTTCCAAAAACCCATTTAATATACTGTCATCAGATAGAGGATGCATCAAATATTAAACAAAGAATAGATATTGCACTTGATCTTAACCAAAAGACTGAGGAGTGCTCTCTTGATTTTAAGTCATGAAAGAATACCCTAGAATTAATGTCCTCATAGTTAAATCTTCCTTCAGTTAGAATACTTTCTTATCATAGACTCCTAGATGTGGACTTGCTGAGTTGAAGACTATGTATATTTTTATAATATTTTATTATTTTTATGTGTATGAGTGTATTGCTGGCATGTAGGTAAGTGCACTCATGTCCTGAAATGCCTGTGGAGGACAGAAGAGACTGTCAGATCTCCTGGAACTGGAGTTACAGACAGTTATTAGCTGCCATGTGGGTGCTGGGATTTGAACCTGGGTCTTTTGCAAGAACAGTGTTCTTAACCACTGAGCCATCTCTCCAGCCCTGCATTTTTGTTGTTGTTGTTATCAATCTTCTAGAAAGGTAATATTGGTGCTCATCACCAGCAAGAGAGGAAGGTCTTTGATTCCCTAGTTGCCTTGATGTTGGGGATTACTATTCCTTTAAATCTTTGCCAATTTCAGGAGAGAAACTGGTATATCCTGATGTTTTAATGTGCATTTCTGTTTAATGGAGTTAAAAATATTTTCTTGAGCCAGGTATAGCGGCACACACCTTTAATCCCAGCATTCAGGAGGCAGAGACAGGTGCATCTCTGTGAGACTGAGGCCTGCCTGGTCTTCATAGTGAGTTCCAGGCCAGTTGGGGCTATAGGGAAACCCTGTCTAAATTTTTTTTTCTTGCATTTATTCCCCTCTTTGGGAATGTCAATCTTTCTGAAGTTTAGTTTTAAGTACCTTCTATACAGTGAAGATAATTATTTATTGTCATTGAAGTTGCAATTACTTTTTTTTCTTTTGGTCTTTTTGAGACAGAGTCTCCCTGTAGCCCCAGCTGGCCTGGAACTCACTTTGTAGATCAGGCTGGCCTTAAACTCACAGAGCTCCACCTGCCTCTGCCTCCCAAGTGCTGGGATTAAAGGCATGTGCTACCACATCCAAGCTGTAATTTCATGTGCATTCTGCCATGAAGTTAAAATCATCTGATGTTGTCTGAATGGCACATGGCTCCAGCTTTTTTGAAATCCCATTTAGAATGGCCTTCTTTATTCTGCAGTCACACAGATATTTATGTGTTTTCTTCTTGTGTCTCCCTCTCTGCTCCTATGCTCTCTTGACCACTTGCCCCCTCCCTGAACCCCACCTCCCCATGATCTATCTTCATTCCTCAATTGTGAGGCTCCTTCTCTTTGCTCAAGTCTCAGATGAAATGGCGTCTCTGCAGAGCTCTTTCCTGGTTACATAATCTAAGGAAGGTTCCATCAACCCCCATTTTTCTTTCTCACAGCACCCTGTTGTTTTCCTTCATAACCTTTATAAAAATGAAGCATATCCACGGCTTGTCTATGTATTCAATATTTGCTTCCCCAACTAGACTATAAACTCTATGGAAGGCAGAAATCGCAGCTATTTTGCATTCTGAGTGCCTAAGCCAACATCTGGCACATGGTATATATACAAAGGATATTTGTTAAAGGTCATGGAATGTTAAGTCCAACTAAAATTTATTTTGGTGTAAGGTATGAACTAAAGATTTCATTAAAATTTTCCAGATGGTATCTTGTTATTACAGTGTACAACAACAAGGCAGACTGGTTCTTCAATAATCCCTATTTCATCCGAGCACCAAGAAGTGAAACTCAGGACACGGGAGGGGGACGGAGCCTCTGGCTCTCACTGCCCCCAGTCCTACCATCTCCTGTCTCTGCAAAGACTTCCCTTTCTCATTATTGCCTTAGCCCTAAGTGCTTCCTTTGCTTATTTCAGGGCTTCACCTAAAGTGAATCTTTAATTAATGGTATTTACTGCCAGATTCAAATCACCCAAATGGCAGGGGAATCAGCTATCTTTGATGCATTTCATTCACATTAGCCTTTGGAAACCCTGAGAAATCTCTTCTCCCTCCAAAGCACGGAGAAACTAGATTGTTCTACATCCTTTACTTTTCTAGATTTCACCTCTAATAGTTGTGAACCTGATGACAGACGTGGAGGGTTATCAGAGATAAAAAAGGGAACGTGGTGACACTCACATGTGCTTTGAAGGTTTCAAGTGCTAACTTGTGTTATATCCATTTAAACACTTCAAAACCTGTGGGGCTGGCGAGAGGCCTTAGTGGTTAAAAGCACATTCACCAAGCCTGATCACTTGAGTTCTAGCTCCAGAACACCTGTGAAGGTAGAAGGTGCAAACCCACTCCACAAAGCTGTCCTCTGACCTCCAAGCATGCATTGTGGTATGCATATCCCCCCAATACACATATCGTGAACACACACAATAATAATTAATGCACCTGTAAATTAGCTTCAGCAGCTTTACAATCAGGCTTTGGGAGGTTATAACTTTTAAAATCTATTATCAGTAGGTTTTTTCTAATTTGTGAAAGTAATAACACTAGGCATAAAATAATGGAAGAAATGACAAAAGAATCAAGTTCATTCCATTTAAAAGCTTTTAATGAACTTCTAATACTCAAGGAAATTGAGCTTGATATTGGTAGTACTAATTCTCAAAGGAACACAATAAAAAGCTATCAAATATCATGTACCTCTAAAACAATGGAAGTCACAAAGAGGTGTCAATTGTATCCCATTTAAAATTTATAAAATCTAGAGGCCGGTGAGATGGCTCTGTGATTAAAGTACCACCAAGGCTGATGACCTGAGTTTGATCCCTGGACCCCACATGGTGGTAGAGCGAACTGACTTCTGAAAGTTTGTCCTCTGACCTTTACATGTGCGCCATGTCACATGCGCCCATACACATCACACACACACACACACCAGAAGGAAAGTAACACATATTGCACAGCAATTCAAGACATACGTGTTGAACAAGTAATACTATATGCTAAACAATCTTGAAATTGTATTAAAACACAAAATACATGAACTCTGCTGAAAAGAACTCTGCTTGACAGCCTGATGCAGGGTCAGTTATTCATGAACTACATCTAAATTAATTTGGCACCATTAATACATCAATAGAGTCCAAGACTAACATGTTTACAATCTAACATGTTTGCTTTTATTTATTTACTTATATATTGTGTATGTATGTGTTTGGGCACACATCTTTTACTACATTTATTATTTTGTGTACACATCACACACACACACACACCAGAATTAATAAATAAAAATGCAATAAAAATTTAAACTTCAACTTATTAAATCTAAAAGCATTCAACATTACAAATAATCACAGGATATAACATAAATTAATATAAATATAGATCAAGATATAATATAAATTAGATCCCATATGATAATAATGCATTCATTATAATGTAAAAAATTATAGTGATGCTGAATAGAATGTCATAAGACAAGGGCTTTATACAGTGTGGAAGGGAGAATAAAGAGAGATATTTCTAGAATAGAATTTCCCAGAAAGAAGCAAGAACCTGACAAATGTTCATACACCAGCAACTCTTAATCTTACTTCTATAAATCTACCTGAAAATGCTCACCAAATGGTTGTTCAGTAAAGCATTAAAATGTGACAAGTGCTGACAATAAAGGGCATGATTTTAATGTTTACAGTTCTAGCCACACTGGGGATTATTTGCAACATGCTTCCACAGGTTTATTTAATGACATGGGATATGCTCCCGAAGTATCCAGAGTTTGCCCCTAAATTTACTGTTTAAATTGTGCTAATATTTGATGGGCAATAGATTGTAATAGAAATAATAAAGTGTTAATAGTCTATCTGTAAGCCGTAGGAGTACAGATGAAATTTTAGTTTTCTTGTTAATATTTTCCAAACTCTTTACAATCAAGTATGATATGTTTATTTTTTTAAAGGGGAGGGTGGGTGGGCTGGAGAGATGGCTCAGTTGTTAAGAGCACTGTCAGTTCCCAGCACCCACATGATAGCTAACCACTTTAACAATTTCAGTTTCGGGGGATCTGATCCCCTCTTCTGGCCTCTGTGGGCATTGCATGACATGGGTGCACTTATCATGTTTGCAGCCAAAACACTCATACACATAAAATTAAATCAATACCTTGTCTCTCATCCCCCATCCCATACCTTAATAATGTTAACATGGTCTTGGGCTACCTTCAATGAAATCTGGAAAAGGAATGTAAGAAGCTTCTGTGCCTCTTGTGTCAGGCAAACATCTGCTACATGCCCTTAGGGACATATATACCCAGAAGTGTGTAAAAAGGGGGTCATTGATATACAGACTCAAAACCACTGATTGTGAAGAATTCTAGAATACATAGGCAAGATCTAGAAGCCAGTCTGACTGCCATTAAGCAGAGCAAATTCACTCTCAGTGTCACCCCCGAAGATAGAAGCAAAAGCTAAAAAAAACCAAATAGTGCAGATTTGTGTTTAGAAGATGAAAGCTGTCTAGTGATTGCACTTGTCCCCAGTGAAAGAAGAGCCTCAGTGAGGAGGGACACTCACCTCCGGGACCAAGGTTGGATAACTACTCAGTGGTAAAACTGAGAAAGACCTGGCTACCACTGAGTAGTTGCATTGGTAAATGCCTCCCAGGCCCATAATTTATGCTTAATCCATCATAAAATGGAGAGGAGTGTCTCGGAGATGCCTCTCATTCTCCATTCTCTGAGCCAGCTCCTCTGTTCCAAGAAAGAAGGCACCAATGCCATTTGAAATAGGGAGTATTTGTTTGTCACTGAGACAAGATGGGATAAGGCTCTGGGATCAAGGAAACAGCTACATCAGATAGAACTTTGGAGATTGCAAGTGACATAAAACTAACGGAAACTATATCATGCAAAACAGAGACGAATTAGCCAAAACTCCGGGAAGCCAAAGGGAACTGTATGTGCAGCACGGATGGAGCCAAGGGCTGTGTGTCTATTTCCAACCGTTAGTCTGTGTAGGCTGAATTTGGCTACAAGAGAAATCAGGCCTGTTCTTATGGAAGCAAGACAGTCTCTGACAGCCTGGAGTTATCTCGCACTTCCAGCTCATACACTCAGCTTACATTGACAGTG